CCGGGGTGGGGGGTGGGGAGCGGGGGAGCTCGGGCCCCTGCCGTACCTGGCGGTGGGAGGAGGCCGGGGGAGCATCGGGCCCCGGGTCCCTCGGCGTCCGGCCCTGTGTGCGGGATCTGTGTGATGGAGTCACCGGGCGGAGGCCCCTGCGTGCGTGGAAGCGTGGGGAGGCGGTGGTGGCAGGAAATGAGGGGCTGGAGGGATGACAGGGTTCGAAGCCACCCTGGGGAGCGGATGCCACCTGCCCCTGGGCTGGTGCCTTTTAGATTTTAAACCAGGGTTGGGGGGTTAGTAGCCCTTAGCGGCCATATACCGGATCCCGCAAAATACATTTAGAGGGACGGGCGAGTGACGCCCAGAACCGCAGCCTCTGGTCCGCCGCCTCGGAGCCCAGCCCAGCCTGCATTCCGTGGATGCTGGTAGTTGCAGGTCACCGGCCTGGGGCTTAGGATCCTTTCGCTTTCTTATGTATCTTTTGATTATTTTGTTACTTTTGACTCAGTGAATAAAGTCAACCAAGAGTCAGTGAGTGCATCATTACGTCCCCAGCAGTTAGAAAGGTGCCCAGAAATCCCACATCATCGCGTTTTCCGAGTTTAATGATAGAGGTCATTTTTTTTTTCCCTAGTGGAAGATTTCAGGAGCGTTAAGTTTTCCTGTTAGTTTGGCCAAACATCAGTAATCTTCCCTTTAACACGACCTAGGTTTTTCTAGTAACATGCACTGGACTTATTTCTCCTGCTTCTCGGCCTGGCCGCAGGTAGGTAAGTCGCTGTGCTTACTTAGGTTCACGGGCATCCCAAACACAAGACAGACTGACTTGTACTTAGGATGCAATGATGGTAATAATGATGCTTGTATACTTATTTTGTGGTCACAAAATCCTAAACATCATGGTTTGAACAGAGTAGTTTCAGTGTAGGATTAGAAGAGAAGAAATTGCTAAAGCTGCTTATCTCTCTGAACATAAATATACTCCAGAAAAAAAAGCCCTCTCAAATAGAAGCACTTAAAAACGTTTTGAAATTAGCCATACCATGTATTCAAATGACAATAATCTCAGCTCACATTTATGGCATGCTTACCATGTGTCCTTTATTTTCCTAATCTTTGACTTAGACCTGTGGCATAGATGCCATCACTGTTCTGGGGACAAAAAAGGCCTCTAAGAGCCATGCAGTGAGGAAAAGCTTGAAGTCTGCATGGTTTCACAGCTGTGTTTGTTTCATTTACCTCTTAAAGTATCCAGAGGAAGAAAGACAGGATGCTTTAGACTAGAGAGGGACATGGCTTCAGTTAGGTTCAACCCCAGTATTTAAAAATGTAGAAAAGGAGACTGTCATCTGAGGTGCCCATGACTCATGCCTTTAATCCTAGCTCATCCCTCAAATCCTAGCTGCTTTGGAGGCAGAGATCAGGAGGCTCACAGTCAATGCTGGCCTGGGAAAAAAGTGAGACCCTATTTCAAATATAACTAGAGCATGACCCAAGTAGTAAAGCTCCCACTTAGCAAGTTTGAGGCCATGAGTTCAAAGATAGTACCACTTCTACCCCTCCCATATACACGCACACTCAAAAGAAGAAAAGGGAGAATGCCACTAGTGATTACCTTTTCCTTGCCTAACAGAAGAAGTTAAGGTTAAATTAAGTTCATTAAAGATTTTCTACAGAAGTACATCTAAACTATTGTTTTTGTGTGCGTGTGTGTGTGCGTGCGTGCGTGCGTGCATGCGTGCGTGCGTGCGTGCCAATCCTGGTTGCTGTCTCTGAACTTTTTTGCTCAAGGATAGTGTTCTACCATTTGAGCCACAGCTCCACCTAGAGCTGGGGGTAAGAGTGTTATAGACTTTCTTGCCTGGGCTGACTTTGAACTGTGATCTTCAGATATTAGCCTCTTGAGCAGTTAGAATTATAGGTGTGAGCCACCAGTAATGAGTTTGATTTTTTTTTTTTAACAGTCTTGTCAGGCCGGCTTGAAACTTGTGATCGTTCTGCCTCAGACTCCCCGGTGGGATACCGGCATATGCCATCACATCTATGAAGAAACTTTTTTCTTCAATTAATTTTTTTGCTTCCTTATTTCAGAGGAAATAAGGAGCAGAGGGCTCTTACAAAGAGATTATGGAGAAAGAGGTGGGGCTACAAGTGGTATAAGAGACAAGCAAAGCTGGAGAATCCTGAGGCCAAGGTCAGTGGCTATCCTTTGAGAAACTTCTGTAGGTTCTTGTTCCATTAGTCCCCAGTCACCCTCTGTGCCAGGGTGTCTGTTCATTCTTCATAGCTCTCACCACAACTTGTGGATCAGGACCAGACCAGTTTTGTTTGGTTTATTTTTTCCCTAGGGCTTGGGCTTGAACCTAGGGCTTTGTGTGTGCTACCTAAGCAAGTACTTGTTGGCCCACTCTCAAGAGCCTGTCCCAAGTGTCAGGCAAACAGCCTGACTCCCAGACTCCTAGAAAATAGTTGTTGGTTATATTATGAGGTAGGCTTTTGCTTTTATTATTTATTGTTATCCTGTGGTTTCTGGTAGCCTCACCCTCTGCCTGGGCTTCTCTGTGACTTAGCCTGGCTGATGGAGGGCTTGCCACATAGAACTGAAATGTCTGAAGAGAATGCCAGTCCTTTTCTCGTGTGCTTTGAGCCTCTGCTGTGAGACTTATCACTAAGCCAGACTAGATTTAACCTAAACTGTGCTGAGCTTGTGGGTCCGGTGAGCATTGCACTCTGGTTATGCTGGCTGACATCAGCACTTGCACCTGTCCGTCCTCTCTTGTCTCAACCTGTTCTTGAGTTCTCTCTCCACCCAGCAAGGTGTGTCTGGACACCTCATATGCTTTCCAGCCAAGCAGCCTGCTTGTCCTTTGATATAGGCAGTCTTTGACAACTGTTGAGTATTTTGTTCCTACAGATTACCCCCATGCTAGACTGCTTCATTTTTCCTGTGCCCCCTCCTCCCAAATCTATCACAGACACTTAGGATTGAAAGCTTTCAATGGTGTTTTATTGTCTATAGGGTTTACACTTTTTATTTTGTTATTTAAAACTCTCTGGATTACGCCTGTCTAATAGAAATAGAAAGCAAGCCACAAAAGTGAGTTGCATCCATAATTTAAAATTTTCTAGTAGCTACATTAAAATAGGAAAAAGGAGCTGGATGCCAGTGTCTCATGCCTGTAATCCTAGCTGCTCAGGAGGCTCAGGAGTCTGAGGATCGCAGTCGGAAGCCAGCTTGGGCAGGAAAATCTGTGAGACTCTTACTGCTAATTAACTACCAAAAAGCCAAGCAATGAAGGTGTGGTTCAACTGGTAGAGGGCTAGCCTTAAGAAAAAAGCTCAGGGATGGGACAGTGCCTAGGCCCTGAGTTCCAAGTCCCAGAACACACATATACACACAAAGTGAAATTGACATATGTACCATTTTATTCCCTGAATAAAATATTACTGAAATACTTTATATTCTTTTTTTTTGCCAGTCCCGGGGCTTGAACTCTGGGTCTGGGCACTTTCCCTGAACTTCATGTGCTCAAGGTTAGCACTCTAGGAAGTGGTGCTGTGGCTCAAGCGGTAGAGCACTTGCCTTGAGCTGAAGAGCTGAGGGACAGCGCCCAGGCCCAGAGTTCAAGCCCCATGACCAACCCCCCCCCAAAAAAAAGACAGAAAAAAAGAAAAGAAAGAAATGAAGGTTAGCACTCTACCTCTTGAGCCACTGCTCCATTTCTGTCTTTTTCTGCTGTTTATGTGGTACTGAGGAATCGAACCCAGGGCTTCAGGCATGGTGTGCCAAGCACTCTTATCCCTAAAGCCTCATTCCCAGCCCCCTTTACATTCTTTTTCATATTAAGTCTTTGGAATCTGGAATGTGTTTTTTAGTCAGATCCATCTCAACTCACACTAACCACATTTCAGTTGCTGGGTAGCCTCATGTTGGTAGGTGGCAGCCAACATGTTGGACAGCTCAGCCCTAAGCCATGCCTTCAGCATAGCTGACTACCAGACATGGGTAATTCCAGCCACTGGCCTTTTGATAACTGGATTCACTTCATCTTGAAGCAGCTTCATCATTCCAGTATGCTAAGTATGGAGATCAGGCGGTGGATGGCTCTGAAGTTACTGTTCTGTACAACGTAAGGGAATTGAGCGTACAAGAAGGACTAACCTTTGAGCAGGCACATTGACCCTTCCTTGAGAAACACAGGGACCCGAGGATCATCCAAAACCTTGTGTTCTTCCATCTCTTCTGTAGTGTTGTAATATAATTAACTTTTTCTTGTTTTGAGATGACAGTCTTCCCCTATTGCCAAGTCAACCTCAGACTCTCGGGCTCCGGTGGTCCTTCTACCTCAGCCTTCCAGGTGGACACCACTGTTCCAGGTTTCATGTGATATTTTTATAACACTAGTGTGTCCATTACTCAGAACCAATCTTTATTATATTTACAGCTGAGAAGACATAGACATTGACTAAGACATAGACATTCTTATGGATGTCTGGTGAATTAGACTCAATGTCAACCACTCATACCCTCAATGAGGGTATGTGAAACACC